TTTCTTACAGCCCATCTTGTTAGTGACACTATTTCAGAGTTTGGGAATCTGCTAGAGTTACTAGCCACATGTTAAGCACAAATGAGATTTCTGCATCCTGTCTTGTCAGCCTGAAAGGAAGGAGTAAGCGAATCATCCTACAACTTAAAAAAAAATTAATAGGTTTGGTGGCTACTGCTGGCATAATTAATTACCAACATTTACTAACATCCCAACAATAGCAACAAGGGTGAGTCTGTAGATACGTGGGTAGTCATTCTCTGCTTCTCTTCCCCTTCCACCCACTCAAACAGACTGGGGATGGGTGTGTTCTTCAACATTTCTGCTTATTCAAGTTGAACTGTGTAATTTTATGTCTTAACATCTGTTTAAATACACTATATGGTTCCATCTATATAAAGTTCAGAAGTAGGTAAACCAATATATGCTGTTAGACATGAAGAGAGAAGTTGCCTTTGGAGGGGAGTATGAGAGGAACATAAGAGTGCAGTAATTGTCCTTCTTGGGCTGGATGCTGGTCATACAAATATGCTTGTTTTGTAACACTTGTGATTTGTGCGCTTTTCATTAATTCTGTTGGATTTCAATGGTTTTTTAAAAATTATTATATTTTGGCTCACACTAATTCTAATGCCCTCTATTCCATAGCACTTCTCCACTTGAGTTCATCCTCAGATAATACTTCTTAGAAGAAGACTGGACTAAATAAAGTAACGCCAAGGTGACAACCCAGGCACCAACTACTAGATGTGCCCTGAATTGGGTCAACCTCTCTGCGTCTCCCATTATGACACTGCTTTTAGGAGTAGATGACCAATTCCTAATATTGTGGATAAGTTAGTTAATTAGATTATCTTGTAGGCAGTTAACCAGGGCCACCCTGGCATGAGCCCTCAAGGAGCCAACACAGTGAGGAGCCAACATGGAGAACAATTGAGGCACATTCACTGGTTAGCATTATTTAAAAAAAAAAAAGAAGAAGAAGAAGAAAAGAGGTACTACTTCCCTTGGAGATAGGTAGCAGTGACTGATATTTAAATTCCTTGCAAGTGACTTATTTTCCCATTTGATCTCCCATTTAATCAGTATTACCTGGATGACTTGTAATTTGATTGGTTGATCATGGTTTTGTCCTACCTTGTAATTTTCCATTGGGTCTTATCATTTTTTCCCACTTTGTACTCACCTCACCTCTTGGATTTGCTGTATAAAACACCTTTGAAAAGCAGGGTGGGTGGGCAACCTACTTTCTGCCCCCCCCTTTCTGTCTCTCTTAGACAGAATCTATCTTTCTCAGAATAAATTTTTTCTACTCTTAACCTCTGTTGTTCCTAGAATTCATTCCTCAATTTTAGAGAACATGAACTCAAGTTTCAGATATCTAACAGGTTTGGGAGTTGTATCTATTGCCTCTGTATCACTAATACACTTTTTGAAAAAAGATTTCTCTCTAATTGTTTTTCCAGAATATGTACTTACCAAAGAGGTTTGCCTATTTCACACTGGAAGACTTCAGGCCTTACTGAGAGCTGGGATCTTTGAATATTTAGCTTATATCTTACATAATGCCCCCATTTCCCCAAATTGCACCTGATTGCCTTGACTTGAATTTATTAAACTGATCTCTTGCGTGAGCAATGGCAACACTTTCAGAGCAGAGTAGTAAGTAAATGACTAACTGCCTTCCCATCTGCTCACATTCTGTATTGCCTTTCAGGGTGTTTATCTCCAATACGTCTGAAGTAGTCTTGAATAAACACAAGGCAGTTTTCAAGGGAACTGCTCATTACCCATTACATCACATGATAGTTACATCTCAGTTCAAGAAAAAACAAACATACAAAAACCTGAAGAAATGCATCTTCAGACAAATTCCATGGATTCTGAGTGTCATTTTGCTCATACCTGACAGCCCCAATACATAAAATGTTGGCATAATAAATTGAAAAAATTCATCTAAGACTTTCCATTCCTTTTGAGATTCTTGGTCAAAGATCAAGACAGACCAGTTTTTTGTTTTCCCAGTGGGGGTGGCTTTTGTGAAGAAAGCTTATTTCATTACATAAACATTTCCTCATTATTACAAACTAAACTCTCTGGGTGGTTTGAAAACATATGTTGCTTGAAGCATTTAAATTTATCAGTGGAAAAAAAATGTGCATGAACCACCCCAAGACAAAGAAGATAGTGCAAAGTATAGAAATAAGGGTTCTGAGATCAGGTCCTGTCCCTGAAGGAGATTGCATTCATTTGTGAAGAACAAATGAGATTTTAAAAGTGGAGATGGGGAAGAAGTGAGCAGCATTAGGAAACGCAGAAGAATGAAATAACATATCAGGGAAGTGTTGGAATGAAGCAATTAGGCAATGTTGCCAGAGCTTCAGGTTGGATATAGTACTAGAAGTTGGTACAGTCCTAGGGAAGAAAGCAGAAGCCAGACATTGAAGAGTTTGAATAGAAGGCTTTTAGTGAGCTCTGAAGCAAGTGTCAATCATGCATGTATATGTGTTAAAATATCCATAACATAAAATTTACCACGTTAGCCATGTTTTGGTGAATGATTTCGTGGCATTAATTACAATCACATTGTAATAACCATCATCATCATCATCCATCTTCAGAATTTGTCTTTCTTAGTTGGAATTCTGGACTGAATAATTATTAACTCCCCATTCTCACCAACTCAATCCACTGGCAACCATAAATATAGGTTTTCTTTACAAATTTGATGCTCCAGATATCTCATAGAGAAGTGTGTATAAATACAATGTTTGTCCTTTTGTGACTGACTTCTTTTAGTTCATTTTACTTAGAATTGTCTCTAACTTTATCTACATTGTAGCATTTGTCAAAATGTCCTTCCTTTGTAAGACTGAATACTCTTCAACTGGATGAATATGCCACATTTGGTTTGTTCATTTATAGCATCTGGACTTCTTCAACTTCTTGGCTATTGTGAATAATGCTTCCATAAACATGGATATGCAAATGCCAGTTTAAAAATATTTTAATTCTTTTTTAAAAATTAATTTTATTGGTACATTTTAGGTATGCAATATAATGGCATTCATCATTGGAGATTTGTACCTTTACATGATACATCTTGATTCTTATTTTTCCCCATTCCCTGCCCTCCCTTCAACCCCTCCTACCCTCTCTATTTACAAAGACTTTGTTTCCATCTTTTCATTTTCTCATATTAAGGAATCTTTTAGATACATGTGTAGAATATGTGGAATTGGTAGATCATAGGGTAATTTTATATTTAAATATTTGAGGAATTGCCACACCCTTTCCCACAGTGGAGGATCTACTTTTAATTCCCATTCACCATGTACCAAGGTTCCAATTTCCCCACATTTTCTCTAACAACTTGTTATTTTTGGCTTTCTTAGAAATTGCCATCCTAATGGGTATGAAGTGGTATCTGACTTTGGTTTTGAGTTGCATTTCCCTAATGATTAGTGATGTGAACATCTTTTCATGTGATAATTAGCCATTTGTCTGTTTTCTTTGGAGAAATGCGTAAAGTCCTTTTTACTTTTTTTTCTTTTTCTCATACTAGAGATTGAAGGGGTGCTCTGCCCATTTTTAATTGAGCTGTTTTATTGTTGTTGAGTTGTAAGGGTGCTTTATATATTCTGTATATTGTTTTTCATCAAGTGTGTGGTTTGTAAATATTTTCTCCCATTCTAGTGTGTTGCCATTTCACCCTGTTGACAATGTTCTTTGATGTACAAAAGTTGTTAATTTGGGGGAAGTTCAATTTACCTATTTTTTTCTTTTGTTGCCTATTCCTTTGATGATATATGTAAGAAGTCATTGCCAAATCTAGTATCATAAAGCTTTCCCCCATGCTTTCTTCTACAAGTTTCATAGTTTTAACCCATACATTTAGGTCTTTGATCCATTTGGAGTTAATTTTTACAAGGTGGGGGTCCAACTTCCTTTATTCATATATTTGCATATGAATATCTCATTTTTCCAATGCCATTTGCTGAAAAAATAATTTTTTTTCTTCATTGGATGACTTTGGTGCCCTTATTGAAAGTCATTTAGTCTGGAAGTTTTATTTCTGGACTTACTATTCTATTCTACTAGACTATATGTCTGTCTTTATGCCAGTATCACACTGTTTTGTTTGCCTTAGTTTACAAGTAATTTTGATCATTGTAACTTTGTTCTACTGTAGTTTTAAAATATAGAAATGTGAGATCTCCTACTTTGTTCCTTTTCAACATTATTTTGGCTATTTCTGGTCCCTTGAGAGTCCATCAGAAAATTTTTATAAGATTTTCTATTTCTGCAAAAAAAAAAAAATCCTTGGAATTGTAATAGAAATTACATTGAATTTGAGTACTGCCTTTTGTAGTATTGACATCTTAAAAATATTGTTAACCAATCCATGAACATGAGATGTATTTGCACATCAGGCTTTTACAGATTTTGTGACATCTTATCTTTAATGAATACTTTTATTCTGTACTTATAAGTTTCATCCTTGTGCTTGAATACTACACAGTAAGTAATAAATGCATGTTACTGAATCAAAAACAAAAAACAGAATGACACTTGCAGTTGTATAAACTATGCTGCCCAACACAAATATTTATAACACACACTGAGGTTTACCTAAACAACACTGTGATGTTGGTCATTCATTTCTTCTTCCCCTTCCCTTCAGAAAACCTACTCCTTTCCACAATTTCCCCTCTGTTGTATCCATCTCATCCTTCTGCTTAGAAATCCACCCTCCTAGAAAAGAAACTTCCTTAGTTTGTTTGTTGTTTTTCGGCTGGGTGCAACAGAATTTCTTGATGGTATGTGACAAAGTTGGGCTCCCTAAGCTTCTCCCCTTCTTTGGAGGATCTGGGATGGAAATTGTGAGGAGGGGAGATTCTCAGCCTATTGCGAGGCTGAGTTGGAGCAAGGACCACCCCACAATGGAGGGCCTCTGCCTTCCTCTCATGTTTTTGCTGGAGCCGGTGATCCAGGACCTCTTACTCCTTGAAGGCCTTGTGGATCATAAAGTCTACCATTCTGTTGCTATGGCCAAATTCGTTGTTATATCAGGAAATGACTTGACAAAGTGGTTGTTGAGGGCAATGCCAGTCAGTCCCAGCACCATAGGTAGAAGAGTGGGTATCACTGTTAAAGTCATAGGAGACAACCTGATCCTCTGTAGAGCCAGGATGCCTTCATGGGGCACTCTGATGCTTGCTGCCCTACTTCTTTTAGTATTATGTTTGGTAGCTTCCTCCAGAGGGCAGGTCAGTTCCAGGCAACATGTTGAAAATAGGCACACAGGAGGCTCAGCGATGACCTCGGCCCTGCCAGTGGATACAGGGATGATATTCTGAGCACTCCCACAGCTATCAAACCACATTTCCCCGGATGGGCTATCCATGGTCTTCTGGGTGGCAGTGATGCCATAGACTACAGTCATGAATCTTTCCATGACGTCAGAGTTGTCAGAGATGACCTCAGCAGTAGAGGCTAAGCAGGTGGAGGAGTCATCACTGACCACATTGAGATAGCTGTCCTGCTTCTCATGGTTTACACATATCACAGATACAAGGACATCACTAGAAAGGAAAGAGATGATGACTCTTTTAATTCCATCCTTCAAGTGAGCTCTGGGCTTCTCCATTGTGGGGGACTCCACAGCTTACTCAGTGCCAGCATCACCCCACTTGGTGGGATCTCACTCCTGGAAGATGAAGATGACCTTTTCATTGATAACCGACTTTCCACTTTCAGCATTCACTGTACCATTGAACTTGCCATGGATGAAACCATATATGTAAAACATGTACACCACGTAGTTGAGATCAATTAAGGGGGCACTGATGGTAATAGTATCTACTTTGCCAGAGTTGAAAGCAGCCCTGGCTGTAGAGGTGGCTGATACGGCCAAATCTGTTTACTTTGACCTTCGTGTCTCAGGACACAGCTGGCTCTGCTTGAGACATGGCTGTTTTTCCAAAGGGAGTGGGGAGCAGAGAGTTGGATGCTATGCTTTTAAAGTCTGGATTACTGAGTTACGATTTACCTACAGTGAAAATCACCACTATAAAATCCACGGCTCAGTTACTTCTGACAAATGCGGATAGGCATTTAATCTCAGAGTCAGGCTCTGGTTGGAAAGTGAATTTGAGAGCAGCTTTGCCCATCACATATGGAAAAAAAGGGACTTTGCTCTCTCTGGTGTGCCCTCAAAAAAATTAAACATAAAATAGCTGCTTCATTCCCCTTCTAGGTATAAATGCAAAAGCATTGAAAGCAGAAACTGAAACAGACACATGTACACCAATGTTCATAGCCACAATTATTTTGTATTCTCAAGAGCAAAAATGAGAAAACAACCCACATGTCCAGAGACATTTGAATGAATAGATAACAACATATGGAATACCAGCAGTCATGGAAAGAATGACGTTTTCACAAATCTACAACATCGATAATCCTGGGGCCTTATGCTAAATAAAACAACTCAGTCACAAAAGGACAAATACTATATTACCCACTTACATGAGGGAGCTAAAATAGGCAAGTCCGTAGAGAAAGTAGGAAAGAAGTACCAGGGACTGGGGGAAAGGAGAATGGAGAGTTATTGTTTTAATGGCCACAGAGTTTCTGTCTCCATGAAAAAGTTAGGAAATATATAGCGGTGATAGTCATACATCATAAACGTATTTCATAGCTATGAGTTGTATATATAAATGATTAAAATGTCAAATATTATCTGCGTATTTTGTTAATTTTAATCTTTTAGTTTATAAACTTTAGTAATTTAGAAGAAGGGGTGCACCTTACCAAAAAGGATACATGCAACTAACTCCAAAGCTCTGGCTCAACGTGTGATATGGGAACAGCCATGAGAATAAACACAATGTCACAAAATACAAAATGAAAACAGAGTGCTGCAAGCTGGGAGAAATTTGCAGAAAGAGAGAAACTGAAGGCAGGGCCACCGCTTGGGAAGCTACTGCAATGGTTGCAAAACAACCTGAGTGGGGAAGTTGCAGAAGGTAAGGGAAAATGTCACATACACAAGAGGCAGAGGAAGCCAGGAAGAACGGAATCTAGCACAAGGCAGAGGAAAAACAAAAAAATGCCAGGCCGGGGGCACATTACCATTTTCATGGGCCCTACACAATTTTTGAGAGCCCTCCCATACATATATGATAGATATATGAGGGATCACTTATATAAACACAAACATATATAGAAATACTTGTGTTAGTTATAAATGGATATTCCCTTTCTCCATTATGTATACATATGTGACATGTGAGTATATATACATGTTTGTTTATATCAACAGTTTTTGTCCTAAAAGTACATTTTTATTCCTAATAATTAATAATGCTCTATTCTATATTTCAAAAGAGCTAGAAGAAGGAATTTTGAGCGTTCCCAACACAAAGAAATAATATGTTTCTGATGAAGGATATGCTAATTACCCTGATTTTATTACTGTATGTTATCTTCATGCATCAAAATATCACACTCTAACGCACATCAAAATACCACACAGTACCCTACAAACATGTAATTATTATTGTCCATTTATAAGAATTTTTGCATTTTTTTTGAGGCAAAGTCTCACTGTATAGTTTAGACTGGCTTTGAATTCATTATGTAGCCAAGGCTGGTCTCAAACTTGCAGCAATCCTCTTGCCTCAGCCTCCAAAGTGCTAGTATTATAAGCACACACCACCGTGCCTGGCTTAAAATCATTTTTAAAAGACAAAGTGATCAAAACATTCCCATGGGCCCCATCCAGGGCATTGCCCCTAATAAGCCTCAGGAGGTGTTGGCCCTGGGCCAGTCCTGTGTAAGGAACTGAAGAACATGAGTATCTACCCTCTTTCCTCTTCCCCTGAGGGCTCCTGATTTACTGCACCAGGTGAGATACTGAGGATTTTGTTGCTACAAATATGTGATCGGATGGGGCAACGCATTCAGAGATTGTTGGCTTTTGGAGAAAGTAGCTCTGTGGAAGTTGTGACCAAAGGCTCAAGGATCAGAGCACTTGGGGTCTGAATCACAGCTCCTCCTGCCTGCCTGTGTAAATTAGAGCAAGTTATTTAACCTTTCCAAGGCCCAGCTGCTATCTATAAAATGAGAATAAGAGGCCTTGTGAGAATTAAATGCTGCAAGAGAACAATCAGCTGAGCACAGTGCCAAGAATACGGCTCAAAAGTGTTGTCGGACCTTAGCTATCTCGGGGCTTGGTTCAAACAGAATGGAGCAGGAGGAAGAAGGCACAGAGGCACCTGGAGAGGGGAACACAGATGGGTGAAGAGGTCAGAAAGTAGTAGAAGGAGCATGAGCCATCCCATTTTTCTCCATGACAGGCCCATTAGCCTACCACACTGCCGTGTGACCTCTTCTAAGCACACAGTGGCTCTTGTCACTTGGCACCAACATCTTCAAGATGGTTCCACCTGAGATAGGAAACAGGCCGGATACACTGAAGTTTCCAGCTCTCTTTAGGTCTCATTTTCCTATGGCCTCTTATCCCCAGTCCCACCCTAGACTTGCCATTACTCCCATTTGTCTACCCTTTTGGCTCATAAAGTCTCTTTTTCCTGAAATGTCCTTTGTCAGAACTTTTATTTGTTCTATGAAACCTGGCCCTAATGTCCTTTTTCTGCAACTCCCTGGGCAAAATTAATGCCTCTCTCTCCTGGTCTCCTACAGCACCTGCATCACTGTAATGACTACCCTGTGAGATAATCATCTGTTTACATCTCTTCCCAGATGGAAGGTGAGTTCCAGGAGAGGAGGGGCTCACTCTCCTGCTGCCCTAACCACCCAGTCCCACCCCAGCCATGGCCCCACCTCCTGCTCTTGTTGGCAGCCCATGAATGAGGGAGGAAGGTTTCTTCATTGTTTACTTAGTTCTGGAATATCTCTTCTCACACCTGTTCCAACATAGAACCCTGATTCATGCCACAATTTCAAGATTAAGTGCTGCAAAGTGGCAACATGCTATGAAGGGGCAAGAAACTGGCAGAACTGTTTCCAAGATGGGAAAATATCAGTGTAATGTGGTGATTACACCTGGGTCTCCAGGCAACCATTCTTACAGGATTAGGGGTGGGGGAGTCAATGATACCCCCCAAAGTTTGGGAGATGTTCATATGATCAGCATTCAACAGGTAATACTGGGCAGTAAGGGACTGGACAGTGGCCTCTAACATTCATCTCCCAGGGTGTCTATTCCCCTCCCATTCCCTACTTCCTCTTCCTCCCCAGACAGCACGTGGTCTCTTCTCCTTTTGGGAGTTATTCCCTATGTCCCTAATTTCAACTTGATTGTGACATAATCTTGGAATTGAAGAGAATCCATCCCCAGTCCTTAGGAGAGGATTTCCCCAATGCTTTCTGGGAGTGGCTCTTCCTGCAGGAAAGACAAATGGCCAGACCTTCACTGTCCACTGTGCTGACTGTCTGACTCTCAATGGTGCCAGCAGGGCAGACCCTAGCGCTCCTGATTCATTTTGGGTCAGACTTTGATCCTTATCTGACTCCTCTATTCCCCAGAGTCCGTGGAGACAACTAAGCACCCTAAGCCCCTGGAGGTCCCAGAAGGTGAACACAGGGGAAGCTGCTATGGTCCCTGCAGCTGAGCACCCTGCTCCCTGCTGGGCCTCTGCAGAGCCTATCGTCTGGGAGCACCCACTGGTCCTGGCTGAACACTGCTCGGAGGAGGTGAGAGCTCTCGAAGGTAGGCGGAGTACAGGCCACAAACAGCCTGGCTTCATCTGGTTTATTCCTGGGGAATATAATTGCTCTTGTCTCCTCCAGCATCTATGGCCTCCTCATTCCCACAGCCACCACTCTGGCTCAAAGTCCTCAGTGTGTGTATCTTCCAGGCTCTTGGAAGAATTCTACCCTTGCCTCCCTTATGCCTTTCTACACAGAGCTATGGAAGGAACTCCCTTTTTATGTAGTTCTGTTTCTCCTGTCTGACCTTTTCTAGCACACACAGCCTGCTGGGGGCAGACTCACCTCTGATTCACTTCCACGGCATCAACACCTGTTGACAGAGAAAGGGGAAACACCCCACACAGACCTTCCCAGAACCTCCTAGACGTTCCCAGGCCTTCCCAGCATGGTCTCTTTTTATGCAGCAGTTGATGAATTTAAAATGTAAGCAAAAGCTTATTTCTTTCCCTACTCCTAAATCTCCACCCTGGTCATCATGGGAGATTGGGCAATCGGTGCAACAGAAACCAGCCCTGGAAAAGAAAAGGAAGTGAGGGAGGAAAGAGAGCGACAGGAAGCAGGGAGAGAACTGGCAAGGGGGCCCTCTGGGCTGTGATCTGCTTAAGTCTCCCTGAGGTCTCATGGGCTCCTCCTGCCTTCCGGATCCAGAGGAAAGATCAGGACTGCTTCTGACTCAGGAGCAACAGCAGGCTCAATTTCCACGCACGAATGGATTGGACCTTGGTGCCCCGACAGCTGCCACCCCTGAATTTCTGCTTCCGTGACAGAGCACCACTTCAAAGTCTGATTTTATTTACTGGGTTACATGTATATTTGTTGCACAAAGAATTATTGATAAATGTATGGATCATCTACCCTCGGCAGCGCCTTGTGCTGAGGAAAATGAAAGATTAAAAAATGTAAAGAAAAGAATTCCCCCTTTCCACTTAGCACAGGATTTAAAAGTAATGTGACATATTTATAGATGTTCTTCTAGGGCATCATCCACAACATGAAAAACTGCAAGCAACCTAAATAGGAGAAAGGCCAAATAAAATGTAGTGCATTCGTTCCATATAATCCAATAGAGCAATTTAACAGAACTGACTAGGAATCCTGTATGTCTGCATTAGACTTCAAAAATATGTGTAGTTCAAAAGTCAAATGTAGAATGTCTGTTTACATACAATCTACGCAAATACAACTTATGCGAATACATATATGAAGAAAATAATGTTCTATATATCCTAAAGACACATGCTATATCTTTATGTAAAAGTTTGTTTTTTAAATGGCATAGAAATCCAAGTTCTCTGGAGGCTGAGGCAGGAGGTTACAAATATGAGGCTAGTCTGAGCTACTTTTTAAAAATAAAAACTGTTAAAAATAAAAATAAATAAAATAATACGGAAAAACACAGACAGGGTTCTCTCTCTGGGAGAGGGGAAGAAACAGTGATGGACCCATCAAAGGGGATTTTACTTTCTCTGTGATTACCTTTTTTAAGAATTTATTCATGTATTACTTGTTAAGTTTCAATTAACTGCTTACATAATCAGGAAGGTATGATCTAAATATTTGAGAATCTAAGTGATGAGTTCATTGATAACCACAACAATAACACAAGCAACATCACAAGGCAGAAAAGATTCAACACCTGCAATAATGTCGGGGAGTTCAGAAGAGGGAGAGCTGGCAGGGAGCCGGGAGCTCCGAGAAGGAGCTGGGAAGTTAGGGCTTCCTCGAAAGTCTGTTGATAAAGGGATGTGTGAGCTGGTGGTGTCTGTAGAATAATGTGACCACAGCATGCAATGCAAAAATGTGCATCCTGAGTGTGTGGGGTCTTTCTCTTTGTTCCTCATACCTGTCAGGCCCTGAGAAACAGAGAATGATATTATACAAACTGAGCAAGGAGGAAAGCAGGATAGGAAAATGAGAGGCGCTTTTATACAACCCTTAGTCAAATGACTAGCAAGGAGGGGCTCCCAGGGAGGCCTGGCGATTCTCCAGGCATATTTGCCCCTCCACACACACACACACACACACACACTGT